AGACAGACAGAGACAGACAGACAGACAGACAGAGACAGAGAGAGATGGATATGAAGAAAGACATGGAGAGAGAGAAAGAGAGAGAGAGAGAGAGAGAGAGAGAGAGAGAGGAAGAGAGAGAGAGAGAGAGAGATAATAGGAGAGAAAGAGAGATGGAAAAAGAGGATGGAGAGAGACATAAATGTGAGGCATCGTGGTGGAATCAGGCTCTCATCAAAATAATCAAAGTGAATAAACTGGCATTTTTCTGCAGGTTTGTGAATTTTTATCAACATTTTTGGCTTTTGGCTGAACACTTTTCATGCCCATTAGAGAACTCATTTCTGTGTGGATTTTTCTTAAAGACGTGGATTAAAGGCACCAAAAATGAACATTTTTCAGTTACCACTGACTCTTAGGCTAAGAAAATGACTAATCTTTGGCGGCCATTTTCTCACTTACTTTACCTCAGATAACGGGTGACCCCCACCTCCTTCATTCGAAAATATCTCGACTTGTATTCAGGATAAATGGATATTTTTTAAAATCCAAATAAAGACAAGTGAACAAGCTTCAAGATGATACCAATAACTCTACATGCTAAAAAATTGACGAGAACTTGATTCCACCACGCTGCATCACAAATGGACAGTCAGATAAACAGACAGACAGACAGACAGATGAACAGACAGACAGATACACAGACAGGCAGACAGACAGACAGACAGACAGACAAACAGACAGACAAACAGACAGACAGACAGACAGATAGACACCCCGTATATGACCAGCTCACCGACCTGTGTATCTTTTCACGAATTCTTTCTCGTCAACACAGCCGTCGTTATTTGTATCGAAGTTGTCTCTGAAGTCCACTATTCTCTCCGGTATGCTAAGCTTGAGAGCAGACAGAAGACAGGAAAATGGGTAAACGTTTGAGTAAAGAGAAGCATTCATATAAATACAGTTCATTATTTGGGTAAAGAGAACCATTCATATACATATATAATACAGTTCATTATTTGAGCAAAGAGAACCATTTATATACATATATAATACAGTTCATTATTTGAGTGAAGAGAAGCATTCATATATATGTATAATACAGTTCATTATTTGAGTGAAGAGAACCATTCATATACATGTATAATACAGTTCATTATTTGAGTAAAGGTAAGCATTCATATATATGTATAATACAGTTCATTATATGAGTAAAGAGAAGCATTCATATATATGTATAATACAGTTCATTATTTGAGTAAAGGTAAGCATTCATATATAATACAGTTCATTATTTGAGTAAAGGTAAGCATTCATATATAATACAGTTCATTATTTGGGTGAAGGTAAGCATTCATATATAATACAGTTCATTGTTTGGGAAAAGGTAAGCATTCATATATAATACAGTTCATTGTTTGGGAAAAGGTAAGCATTCATATATAATACAGTTCATTATTTGAGTAAAGGTAAACATTCATATATAATACAGTTCATTATTTGAGTAAAGGTAAGCATTCATATATAATACAGTTCATTATTTGGGTAAAGGTAAGCATTCATATATAATACAGTTCATTATTTGAGTAAAGAGACGCATTCATGTATAATACAGTTCATTATTTGGGTAAAGGTAAGCATTCATATATAATACAGTTCATTATTATGGTAAAGGTAAGCATTCATATATAATACAGTTCATTATTTGAGTAAAGGTAAACATTCATATATAATACAGTTCATTATTTGAGTAAAGGTAAGTATTCTTATATAATACAGTTCATTATTTGGGCAAAGGTAAGCATTCATATATAATACAGTTCATTTTTTGGGTAAAGGTAAGCATTGATATACATATATAATACAGTTCATTGTTTGAGTAAAGAGAACCATTCATATACATATATAATACAGTTCATTATTTGGGCAAAGAGAACCATTCATATACATGTATAATACAGTTCATTATTTGAGTAAAGGTAAGCATCCATATATAATACAGTTCGTTATTTGAGTAAAGAGACGCATTCATGTATAATACAGTTCATTATTTGAGTAAAGGTAAGCATTCATATATAATACAGTTCATTTTTTGGGTAAAGGTAAGCATTCATATATAATACAGTTCATTTTTGGGGTAAAGGTAAGCATTCATATATAATACAGTTCATTATTGGGGTAAAGGTAAGCATTCATATGTAATACAGTTCATTATTTGGATAAAGGTAAGCATTCATATATAATACAGTTCATTATTTGAGTAAAGGATTCATATATAATACAGTTCATTATTTGAGTAAAGGTAAGCATTCATATATAATACAGTTCATTATTTGGGTAAAGGTAAGCATTCATATATAATACAGTTCATTATTTGGGTAAAGGTAAGCATTCATATATAATACAGTTCATTATTTGAGTAAAGGTAAGCATTCATATATAATACAGTCATAGTACGTAATAAAGGTCATTATTTGATTGAATAGAAGTATATTATTAATATAATTATAAAAACGATCATTATTTGAGTTAATACAAGTATATTCATATTAATATAAAAACGGTCATTATTTGAGTACATAGAAATATCATATTGATGTATAATAGTCGTCATTATTTGAGAATAGAAGTATAATATTGATGTATAATAGTGGTCATTATTTGAGAATAGAAGTATAATATTGATGTATAATAGTGGTCATTATTTGAGAATATAAGTATAATATTGATGTATGATAGTGGTCATTATTTGAGAATAGAAGTATAATATTGATGTATAATAGTGGTCATTATTTGAGAATAGAAGTATAATATTGATGTATAATAGTGGTCATTATTTGAAAATAGAAGTATAATATTGATGTATAATAGTGGTCATTATTTGAGAATAGAAGTATAATATTGATGTATAATAGTGGTCATTATTTGAGAATAGAAGTATAATATTGATGTATAATAGTGATCATTATTTGAGTAAAAAGAAGTACATTCATATTAATGTAAAGTTGTTTCTGCATCCAATCCGGACATTGGGGATTGCCTTGTTATTGAGACAACTTCATGGGCCTTCGGCATATTGTGGTAGGGTGGCCAGTTCATATATGATAACAGTCACCCTTTGACATCATCGAAACGGATCACAGACACAGACTTGCGAAACTAATTCTAAAACAAACAAAGAAAAAGAGGTTAAAGACCATTTATTAAATCTAAGAAAATTGGAAGAACCAGACATTAAGAAGGCAATCGAGGATGACATTATAAAGGAGTACAATAAGGTGTTACTTGAAGTCAAAGATGAGGAAGAAGAATGGCAAACATTCAAAAAATTCTAGTCAGAAATATTGAAATACAGTTGGGGCCCCAAACGTTTAGGCGGGAAAAAAGCAGAACAAAAATGCGGTGAAATGATGAAACCAAAGAAGCAATTAAAATGAAAGCTCAGTTTGGATACCGAAAGGGGAGAGGATGCATCAATGCTGCATTCGTCTTACGACAGCTATGCGAGGCAACCATTGAACACAACAAAGAATCCAACATCGTCTTCATAGACCAAGAAAAGGCTTTTGACAGAGTAAACCATGCCAAACTCTGGAAGAAAGCTGGAAAGTATGACGTCAGAAGACAACTGTTAGACAATGTCAGAGCTCTAAACGACGACAGAGGCTTCGTAAGAAAAAATGAAGACAATGCAGACTGAATGAAAGTAATATTTGGAGTACGACATGGATGCACTTTTTCTCCCCTCCTGTTTATAATCTAAATATGGACACAATAACATAAGACGCAAACTAAAGTCCTGAAAACCTAAATGAACTTCCATTTGCAAACAATCAATGTCTTATTCATCCAAACCAACAAAGTCTCCAAAATCACACAGCCAGACCCAAACAACAGCTGCGAGAAAATTGACATTAAAATAAGCACGTCAAAAGCAGAAATTTTGAAAGTGAGCAGAAACCATAGTCCTTTGAACATTCTCCTATCAATAGTAAACAGCTGAAAAAGGTGAAAGAGTTTAAATATCTTGGTAGCACTTTTTTTAAAACGGCTCCATAAACAGAGAAATATAAATTCGAATTAAAAATTCAAACGCAATCACCTACCAACTCACACCCCTTCTGTCTCTTCTAAACATCTCCACGGACACAAGAGGATAGCTTTTCACTTCAATATTTATTTTTATACCAACACCATGCTATCAGTACTAGACCTGGGCCTTAGTAAAACACATGAAGCATTATCATTGCACGTGAAATGCAATGTCTCCACAAAACCCTTAAAACCACAAGACGAGGCAAGCAGAGAAAGGAAAAAATAAGAGCAACTTCTGATACTGAGTCCTGCCTGCATTTCAGACAAAAACGGAGACTAAAACGATTTAGCCAACTCTTACTAATGTCACCGAGCCATCCAGCCTCGAGATCCTATAACATCAAGTACTCAGGCTATAAAGGAAGAGGAGGCTCAAGCAAAAGGTTAATTGAAGGAGTCAAGAAAACCCTGAGAAAATATAATATCCTAATCGAAAAAGCTGCGGAGCGGGCCTTCTATAGAAAACTGCATCTCCCCTCGACGCTTTACGACAACAAGTGGTAAAAATACCGTCATTCTTTTGAGTCGAGGAAACTATAAAATATTGACATAATAACGGCCACTGATTGAGCCAAGGACATTATATCAACCCAATAACGGTCATTGTTTGAGTTAATTGAAGCATAATATTATTGTCAAGGAAATTATATCGACTCAATAACGGTCGTTGTTTGAGTTAATTGAAGCATAATATTATTGTCAAGGAAAGTAAATCGACAAAATGGGGGTCATTGTTATGGAAAAACCTTGTCTAGGACACTATAAATCAAATTATATATAAAAACCCCACCCCCAAAAAGTTGGGGAAGTAAAGGCGGCGTGGAAAGTAACTGGCCACCCTACCACCTTACATGTATGCCGAAGGCCCAGGAAGTTGTCTCACTAACAAGGCAATCCTCAATGTCCTGATCGGATGCGGAAACAACTTTACTTTACAGCCGAAAAAAAACCCAACAACAAACAAACAAATTAACTTACCTGTCCATCTCCGTTGGTGTCTATGTTGGAAGCTAAACTCAGAATTGATTTAGTCAAAGTCGGGATGTCTGACGCTGTCTGTGTGAACGCCCCAGAGAAGACACAGCTCACGAGGCAAACGAAAGTGAGGGAGACCATGATTCAGGTTCTAGTTTGACGTGATGCACACTACTACTCATTAAACTGAAAGCTGTCAACGCTCTCTTGGAGTCGCCTCGTCTTTATATATACCTTGTATCCAAGTCACTCTGCCATGAAATCCCTGGGCTTATTATATTATATTTCTTATATATAATATTATACAACTTGCACAATTCTTAACT